TTAATCTTATTACATTGTATCCTTCGCTAAACGCCTTACCTTTCCGCTATTTCATTATCCCGTTCGGTTACGGATGTACAGACTCAGAAGATCGCTGACTTTTGACGGCGCACATCAACCATCACTGCACCACAACCAACCGTGTGTAAGCTTGACTGACAGACGTAGAAGCCAATCAGTTACCGAGTTTCCAGTGCGCAACCGCGATTCCAGCCAATGAGGCTGAGGGGGCGTTTGTCGTCGACAAAAGCAGCTGCTTTTGGGACTCACGCATGTTAAATATTTAATAAGGGCTTTAGGAACGAGTTGTTTTGAGTTTGACAACCAAACTGTTCTTTATTTAAAAGTACTGTAACCCGTTTTTGAAATAAAACACAAAAATAAAACCTAAAAATAAACAATAGTATTCCAATAGTATTCCAATGTTCTGTATTGATTCCCCCTTTAGGTTGACTCAAAACACTTCCCTGCAACGTTCTGGGAAAGTTAGATTTTAGTAAAAAATAAAATAAAAAAAAAGGACAGTAGGTACGTTCAGAACGTTCTTAATTGGTTCCAAAATAACCAAAAGCTGCATTGAACGTTCTATCCCTGACAGCACACGTACATCACAGAGGCGTCTATTTGATGTCTGCATTTACATCTGCAAGACGTATTTTTTAGAGTGTTTGCTCATCTGCAATACGTCTGGACATTTCCTATCGGATGCCAAATAGACTTTTAGAAGATGTCTTTAAGATGTTTATGATTTACAATGTATGTAAAACTGACATCTTAGAGACGTCTATCAGATGTTTGTACACAGCAGATGCTTTCCAGATGAAGAGAGCTTTAACATCTTGCAGACATACGTGTGCTATCTGGGATGTCTGCCTACCTTTCAGATATCACTTGAGAAAGCCTGACCTGGCCTGACATTTTTTTCTAGCTAATCAGAGAACTAAGATATTTAAACATAACTTACCATTTACAAATGATTTATTATAAATTCAGTAATGACATCCCCAGTCCCCTCTCTTTTTTATTTGTTTATTTAAAATTAAATAATTAAGTACTTTTTTTATTTTCATAATTCACAGTGTAGGTATAGTGCCACAATCAATAATTAAATGTTTTCAATCCAAATAAGCACAAATCAAGCTGCAATACCAAACAGAGCCACAGGGAGACGCCAAAGACCACAAAAGCTCCTGCCTTGACCTGACTGTAGACTGTACTACTTTATGGATCCATTCAGAATCACTAAACGTCTGACCACCACATAATCTAAAACACCTTTAGCCAGCATCCATTATAAAACACTCTTGCTTTTAAGCCAAATACACGCTGAAAATAACAAATTACTGACATCTGGACGCAAGTCACTATTCTCTGCATTAGCGCTATTTTGAATTTACTGTTTGAATTCGCTTACTGGATCCTTGGACTTTCCAGGATTTTACCGGTTTAAAATGATGTGATCGCAAAAACCTGCTTCTTTTCATTGTTATAGAATTGTTTTCGTTATAATGTACTGATTCAAATGAGTAATCAATAATTCATTATTATTCTACTACTCTGCGCGCCCCACACACTGACACAGTAGACCGACTCCGCTTGCATTCATTCACGTGATTTGTCGAGATGAGAGGTGACCCTTCATGGGTAGTGTGATTTATATAGTGTCATTTCTAATCCCCCAGACACTGACGCCTTGACTCCGAGTACCGTTCTTGTGTACAATTCTTACTCCCTGCCAGATTATTACCCCCCTATAGTATTGGTAGGTTTAGGATTAGGTGTGGGGGAGGGGTTAGGATTAGGGGTGGGGTTAGGATTAGATCAGGTAGGGGCTTCAACGAGGGGGGTAATAATTTAGCAGGGGGTCGAAATTGGGCACAACACCTGTTCTGCGTACCGGCCCACTTCAAGCACTGGATATCCCAACAGACAAGAAAAAGTTTGCCATTCTTCTGTCACTGGAATCTATTTTTAAGATCCTTTAAGCATATTTGTCAACAGTTCCTCACTTTGGATATTTCATGATGCTGTTGTTTACATTTCGTTTTGACTGGGAAATATTTATTAAAGGGGTCATATGATGCTATTTCAATTTTTCCTTTCTCTTTGGAGTGTTACAAGCTCTTGGTGCATAAAGAAGATCTGTAAAGTTGCAAAGACTAAAGTCTCAAATCCAAAGAGATTGCAACGAATGCCTTATTTTTGTGGCGTTGCAACCAGAACATGTGTGCAACTTGCACTATTTTTTAAGTGAAAATGAAGTGTGTGGCCAAGTATGGTGTCCCATACTCGGAATTTGTGCTCTGCATTTAACCTATCCAAGTGCACACACACAGTAGTGACCACACAAACCGTGAACACACACCTGGAGCAGTGGGCAGCCATATTGCTACCCAGAGAGCACATGTACGTCTGCAAGATGTCTGTTAAAGACCACTTCATCTGGAAAGCATCTGCTGCTGCGTACAAACATCTGATAGACGACTCTAAGATGTCAGTTTTACATTCATTCTAAATCATAAACATCTTCTAATCATCTATTTGACATCTGATAGGAAACGTCCTATAGACGTATTGTAAATGAGCAAACACTCTAAAAAATATGTCTTGCAGATGTAAATGCAGATCAAATAGACGTCTCGGTGATGTATGTGTGATACCAGGGCTATCGGATGTTTGTAGCCTACACAGCAGATGCTTTCCAGATGAAGTGATCTTTAACAGACATCTTGCAGACGTAACTTGTCTGGGGTGGCACGGCAACATCTGCTCAAACCAGCAAACACATTT